TTTTAACATGACAGTAACTTGTGTTTAAAGTTAGCTTAAACTTTTAATAAAGAATGTATAAAATACCAAAAATAATTTATTCCCAAAAATTTAAGTAGTAGTACAATAGAGCCCATCTGATATTCTTTATCATTTCACCAATATTATTTGCTGCTATTTAGGTTTTCTGTATATATGTTGTTATTAGTAAAATCACTATATAAATATATCTTATATTTTTTTACATTTAATTTCCAAAAAAATAGATCTCTTGTTTGAATAGACATAAAAAACTTTGGTTACTTTCCCAGGCTAGAGTATGTTGCTTTGATACTAACTTTGTTGAATTTAGGTTGCCATTGTTAGGGGTATAATTAGTAAAATGTAAAGTTTGCTGATTACATTAAACTCTTAGATATTTCTCATTGTATTGAGGATGTTGTAGTATTACAGAATGACTTGGAGTAGTTGGTAAGTTCAACAAATAGTTGACAAGTAGCCTGCAATTGTAGTAAGTGTAATGTATTTGGGTGTTGTTATAATTTGGATCACACATTTAATTTTCAGGAAGGCAATTTTGAGGCCTTGAGAAAAGGTTTAGTGAATTGAAGTAATGAGTTTAGAGATGATGGGGACAGATTTAGCAAATTTTAAAAGATGAGGAAATAGGTAACAGGGAAAATTAAACATAATTAACTTACTAAAGGAGAAAATCAAGTATAAATGTTGTAATAAGGTTAAGAGGTTTGAATTGATAGATAAAATGGAAGCTTTACAGGTCTATAAGAAAGTTAGAGATTTTGTTTTAAAAAAGAAAATTAGTGAAAACAGATGGCTCATGGTGATAGTAGCAGTGGACTATGGAGATCTTAACATTGAGCCCTGAGGTGCCCCTCCTATGATATTAATCCATTTTGATTGAACTCCATTTATAATAACCCTCATACTTTCTTTGTTCCAGCTATTTTTTGACCCAATGAGCCACTTTAACCCCCACATCCATAAAAAACAAAAGTTTAAAAAACTTGAAGAGGTTATTGTCAATATTGATGAAGGTGTGAGGTTTGGTATATCCGGATATTCAGAAAGAACTTGACAGGAAGACACACAGGTGAATGTAAAAAGAAGCTTAGGTAGGAAATATAATCTTGCAAAGTCAGGAAATTTGATTGAAATTGTGAATAGGGACCTACAATAGGTTCAGATAAAGCTAATAAGAATTAACAATAAACAAAAGGTTGAACTATGTTTAGTGTCTTCATAAATTGTAATTTGACTTCTATTTCCTTTCCTTAAACTAGAGGGGTACTCAGTAGAGCATATACCTCTGCCACGCAGCGTTGATCGTATTTGACTCTGAAACAATACAAAAATGTGTCCTTATGTCTGTTGTTATCAATGGACATGGACCATTTTTGGCAGTACAATGAGGAATAATATTCTGCATATGCTCACCTTGGTTCATCAAAATCCAATAATTTTTGACTGAATTACAGAGCAAACATAGTGTGAAAAATCAGTCCCCATGTTAACAGAAAAGGATTTTTTGGATTTTTGTTACCTTGACCTTCCAAAAAACTAATCACTTCTAAGTTGGGTCGTAGTCCCAGTGAATACCAACTTTTGCCCAAATCCATTCAGAAGTCTTGTTGATAAACACACACAGGGGTAAAAACATAACTTCTGTCCACCTTCAGTGGCGGATGTAATTATGCAACCTTTTCATGAACCACAGGTTGAAATCCTAGTGCTTATATGTTGAAACATAGCTGGCCTGATATGTTTTGGTATTGAGCAAAATTCTTTAACATTCTTATTATTAGAAACATATACTTAACCAACTAGAGGGGCATTCAGTAGAGAGCATACCTCTGCCATGCAGCGGTGATTGTATCCAGGTCTAAAAAATACGAAAATGTGTCTGTATGTTTGCTGTTATCAATGGACACGGATCAACTTTTGGCAGGACAATGAGGAATAATATTCTGTATAAGTCCACAAAGTTATAAAGCAAAAACTTGGGCCCAATGTTAACAGACAGGGACTTTTTGGATTTACATGACCTTGGCCTTTGACCTGACACTCCAAAAACTATTCACTTCTATGTTGGGTCATAGTTCACAGTCCAAATATATACCAACTTTTGTCCAAAGCCATTCAGCCATTTTCAAGAAATCTTGCCAACAAACATACACATTGGTGAAAACATAACCACCAGCCACCTTTGGTGGCAGAGGCAATAATGATGTTATTTATCTTATTCTGATTACACCTATATTTGCTATACATCAAGGTATGATGCTTTAACAGAATACAATGCAAGTATAACACAGTTTTTTGATGTTTGTAATTATGTATACAACTCTGAAGTAGTGTATGTAATTTTTCTGCAGTTTATAATTAATCTGAGTTACATGTACATGCCTGTTAGGATATTAATTTTGAAAATCTGTTTTGAAGCAGAAAATTAGATTGAAAACAAAGCAGGTCTCTAACCTCTAGGAGTTTAAAGCTCAGAATGTGTGTTTTTTAAATGGTACATGATTTTTTAGTTTTAGTAAGGGTATTTTCTTACATTTGGGTTAGAAATGTAAGATTTATATACTGTATAGCTAGTAGGTTGTGCTTGAAATTCAGATAAGTGTACATTGTTTTGTTTTTAATTTTTTCTATACACATTTATTACTCTTTTTTTTTTCAAGTTTTTAAGTTACATGTACATCACAAATGAATTCAGTAAACATCCGTAATACAGTATAATATACACGTGTATGTACAGAAAATAATATACTTAGGTTCTTTCATTGCAGTTCTGTGCTTTCACAAGAATTGCAGTACTTTCCTCTGGTTGGAAACAAGAATTCAGTCATGGCTACTGTTGGAAGTGGTCGCAAAAGAGTTACTGAAAAATTGTATTTTACTGAAGATCAATCTCTAGATCACATTGCTTATGAGGTATTTGAAGGAAACTTTCTTTATTATGCTTTGGAATTTATCTAACAAGCAGATTGAAAATTTTAACTAACTATAAATCTACACAAATATATTTTATCAAATAAATGGCTAAAATTTAGGTGTTTATTTTATGATATCATTGTTCATATGTATCTTCAATATTTTCTTGTGGCTAGTGATGTTAGAATTTAAAAATAATTCATAGCACATAGAGCCTGAATGCAAAATATCCTGCAATTTGTATTGAGACAGAAATAAACAAGGTCCACTAAAGCATCTAGCTCACCAAGGCTCCTCCAGTTTTGCAAACAACATATAGGAAATACCATATTAGCTTGAATCTAAAATTGTCATCAACTGACCACATAGTATTGTGCAAGCCATTCCACAAGTCAATGCTTTTAAGAGGTAATAATTCTGCACATGGGCAAATGTATAGATTGCATAAAAACCTTGCTAACCCAATCTATATATGTACAATTAACTATCCAGAAACCACAATAATGAAGAAACAGAACAAAGATCCATAGTTAATATTAATTAGGTAATGTTACTTTTTAAAATTTTTTTGGGAAGTTTAAGTACCACTAAAGATGCTGTAAGAAGAAAAATGATAGAAATATTCAAAGTTGAAAGGAAAAAAATATTGCAAGTAAAATACAATGCAGGTCATCACCAAAACTTTATAATACTGTCTAAGAACTAAAAGTAACATTTAAATTTGACTTCATGTATATTTTTGTACTATATGTAATTAATCGCATGTCAAAAGCTCTTAACACAAACACAGTAGTATTTGGGTGTATCTTCCAACAAAGTAAATTTAAATATTCAATGTATGAAATTACATCACAGTCTTATATGTGAGCTATATGTGTTAGTTAAAGTAAAGCTGATGGTATTTAAATTTGTCATTTATTCTTTTTGAGAAAGATAAGAGTTTTCTATTACAATATAGTATGATAGAACTAAAATAGTTACATGGATGACAAAATTAAACAAATAGGTATACTAGGATATCTTTGTATTACTAAACGAATTGGGTAATTTCAAAATTTTAGATAACAAGTCTACAGTCAAATTCATGCTTATTAAATTCGAGCTACTACTTGTTACAGCAACAAACCAGTTAATGTTCTGTGGTAGGTATATTACTTAGCTCATTGCAAACAAACTACACACCATGTTAGTAGCCCATGGCAAGATTGTAACCTTATTTTTTTATTTATATTTTTGTTTTTTTTAGGTATTTTGTCTTATTTTTGGAGTTGTAAATGTATGTGTTTTTTTGGGGGGAGGGGGAGTAATCATTTCCAATAATATTGGAAATAAACTTTTGTGTTTTAGTTGTTCATTATGCATAGATTTTAAAACTAATAAATTATATATTTTTCATGGGTTTAAAAATAAGCCAGATAATGTGTAGTAGCGTAACATTTATTATTTGACAGTACAGATATATTGTCATGATATAAAAGACTATTTGGTTTAAATATTATTGATTAATTTATATTTGTGAGTGAATATTTTTATTATTTGTAAGTTTTGTTATAATAAGAATTAAAAGCAGACGATTGTAGAAAGTTTTGTTAATGACTAATTGGTGTCGAGAATATAGAAAGTGGCCAGAAGACTATGTAATAAAATATAAATAGCGTGGGATGAGCGGGAAACAGTAGACAGATGACAATAGACAGATAATAGCAAAAGAGAATATAGTTGTGTGAAGTTAAATACCGCAAAGGTGATAGGCCTAATGTTTAATATGTTAGAGTAAAACTAACAGTATAAAAAAAAGATAAAAAGGATAATTTTATTCTGTCAAAGCGTGGTTCTAATGTAATTGAATCAGCCTGGGTATACTTTGACAAAAGGAACAGAGGATCTTCAGAAGAAAGAAGACCAAACGAATAGTTCGACTTGTCAACTGAAATTCTAAAGTAATTAAATAGGCCTAAGTGGACTTTTGGCAAGAAGAGAACTATATATAAATAGTGTTAACCCATTCAAGACGGGTCATGAGTGAAAGGCCATGTCATCTTGTTTGTTGACTTCAATTTTATTGAACTACTATTTCATGAATTTATCTCAATAAGTTTGGTATCAAACTGTAGAATATAATTCAAATTTTAGAACTATACATTACTCAATTTCTTAATTTAAAAGTAACTATTAAAAAACACAGATAAACATCGATTTTTGTGTGTCATGTGGTATGTTTAATGCAGCACTGGTTTAATTTAGATTTTTGTGAAGTCAAAATAGTAAGTCTGTAGTTTTGTACGAATTAGAAAGTAAACTTACAGATATTGACAAGCTAGAATATAAAATAAGAAGGCCTTATCTTTTCTATTTGCTAAGATATTGCTCAAGTAATAAATCAAACACAGTGGCACCCCACCCACTTCTTTCCATTTTTGGAAATGCTCCCTTTTATATACTTAATTCTGTATATGACATGAATAACCAATCGGAAGCTCAGAATGTCACCTTAGTGGTTTTCTCAGCCTTTCTAACATGGCTAACACCAGTTCTTTCTTTTGAACCGAGATTTCAGTGAGGTAGGTTATGTCTTTAGTCTGCTCGAAATTTCATATTTTTTAAGAGTAAAATATATTTTAGTTACTAAGCTTGATAAATTATAGTTGAATTCTATAGTATTGATGTAGTAATTTATGATTTTTTTAGTTATTCAAATGTATGTATATAAAACCTAAAAAAAACATTTTGTTTCATACCCTCCACGTGCAAAATTTTTAAAAGCTTAAATTCTAGAATTGATATTGGTTACTTATGCATGTACATATCAATTCTTGTGAATTGACAGATTATGTATTTGTGGCTAAACAGAAAAAACAACCAAAAGTGAATAAATATAAAAGAACATATGGAATATATTATGCAAAATATTTGCATCAAATTTGGAATGAGTGGGGGAAATAGTTATCAAAGACATAAAGAGATGTGTCTTGGTATTTGTGGGATTGTTTGATTTTTGTAATAAAATTTCTCTGATTTTTCTTTCATTAATATCAGGCTCATATCTCAGTATTTTGACATTCTGTTTAGAAAAACTGTTTGTTTTTATTCATATGCTCTTTGACTTGGGAAAAAGGCTTTTGATCTTTTTATAACCTAAGTTACATGGTGGGGTGGGTTTCTTATATAATTTTCTTAATGTGTTTCATTTTCATTGCAGGGGTGAAAATGAGTCTAGGTTGTGGTTATATTTACGTGCTAGTCTTTTTGAAATTTCTGATAGAAGTATGCTAATATTTTCTATGTATAGGATAGTGCAAGCGATCAGGTTTCCTTTGTTTTGTGGAGTGTTTGAGATAGTTAGTTAGTTTGTTTGTTAAATGCCTCTTGTCTGTGTTTTTAAGTTTGTTAATAGTTTCTATATTACTTTAGTAGGGGAACTGGTTAACAGATATTTGTACTTCCTTCACATAGAACAGCATGCCATAGTCAGATCCATATATAAGCCTGCATTTTAGCTCAGATATGTAGATGATATTGTTTGTGGCTATATTTGTCAAGATGATCAAAAACATTTTTCCAACATATGAACAACCTACATAAAGACATACAATTCACAGTGAAAAATGAAAACAATAACACAATAAATTAAAAAAAATTAACATCACACAAACCCCCCAAGGTTTCACCACTAAAATTCATAAAAAAAACACATACAGCAGAAATTACAGAAGTTGTGAAAAAACTAGCACATAAATATAAACACAAAATACTGCCTAGATATGTTTTCAATGAAATGCATGATAAGAAAATTATATAAGAAACCCACCCCACCAGGAAACATTTACAAAATGAAGTGTAACAGTTGCCCAGTCTTTTATATAGGTGAAACAGGACTTAACTTGAAGATCAGGTTATAAAAAAGACTAAAAACCCCTTTCCGAAGTTTGTGAACATATGAATAAAAACAGTTTTTCTGAACAGAATATCACAGTATTAAAACATGATCCTGAAGCTTTATTAATAAGATTAAACAATCCCACAATTAACAGATACCTCTGTATTTCTTTGATTGTTATTTCACCACACATTCCTAATCTTATGCAAATATTTTGCATAACATATTTCATAGCTTTTTTATATTTATTCACTTTTGGTTTCTTTTTTATGTTTAGCCATAAATATATAATTTGTCAATCCACACAGATTGATATGTACATGCATAAGTACCACTATCAATTCTAAGATTGAAATATATTGTTAGATTGTTGAATGTTGATTTAAATACTAAAACGTTCTTTGTTGTTAAAACTTGTGTACTTGAGAATGATTGCACCAGTGATTGAAATGTCATACCTGTTATAAAAACAAATTTTACTGTAAAAGCTGTAACTTGTAATAAAATATACTTAGTTTTTTTTTAAATTTACTTACTGATTATTAAAGACAATATTGATTCATACATTTTAAGTTTTGAATTCTACTGGAAATCAAGCATAGATTGTTATTATTTGTATCTGTATACAATTAAGATTTGCTTTTCAAGTTAAATTTATCTTATTGCTTGCATAACATCATGTCAATATAACACTTGTAATTTACTATACATTAGAGCCATAGGGTGTTTTTTATTACAGTTACTTAGCAACATATAAGATAGTGCTTAGACCTCTGCAGATAGGTGCCTACAGATTGTCTGAAAGTGAAAAAGGTTATGAGTTTTCATGATGTCACTTCAAACTGCTTTAGTGTGTAAAGTCTTGTGTAGGTGATAATCAATCACCTTTACTCTTTGTTAATAAGAGTGCAATACATGTAGCAATATCAGTGCTATTTTAACAGATTCCTGATTATTTGTTTTTTATGAAGGCAGATAACTTGTAGATAATTTTTTAAAATATACGACACAAAAAAGGAATGGATGAGTTTAGTTGAAACATTTATTTATAGAAAAATTTAGTAATATATTGAAAGTATCTACAAAACTTCATCTTATATAAATAATGTTCAGGACATAAGCT